GTAAATCTTTTAAATCACTTCTTAAAACCCGTTTTTACAGCTTTGCCTTTGGTGATCCTTCTATGTTTATTTTTACTCCAACCGTCTTTAGTTCTGTTCCATTTATTTATTTTATTCCATCTCTATTTCATTACCTCTGTTATTTCAAGCTATTTCAAATGCAATTTATTTGAATCGTCCTTTTGTAATTGTAAATTGTTTTCCCTTGCCGTGTTTTTTGTTGTTCTGCTTTGTAAACTATGTTTTAAAAGTGCTATACAAATAAAAGTTATTATTATTATAAATGTTAAAAACTGCTGTTTCCTTTTTTAATCACTATCATTCTTGGGGCTGAGTTATGACCACACTATAAATGTACACAACAAAGACCACTCTCAGTTCTGGCGATATAAACAAAACAACATTAGGAGGAACTCCATGAAAAGGTATACACCTATGACCATAGAGACAGCTGGAACCTCACCCCTCGCTGCAGGAGGGGGGGGGGGGGGGGAGGTGGTACGGCTCTCTACAACCAAACGGTTACCGCTCAAAGTTATAGTTTATTTGGACACAGTTCACAGTGTTTTACAGAGGATTTCATGGCGATGGAGTGTGGATACAGTTGACTTAAAATAAACATTTGCGCGGAAAAATTGTGAAAAGTATCCACCCTAAGTGGTTTCGCTTAAATGTAAGGTCCTACGGAAGGCGAAAGGTTTCAGTATCCGTCCCCCCACAATAGACGCTTCTCCTGAGAAATGTATTATTTTTATTATTTATTAGTTTTATATATTTATATTATGTAAGGCTTGAAGATAATATTCATAGTTAATCAATAATTAAACTTATTTTTCTTCCAATGTCGTTCCAGCTTCCCAAGAATGTGTTATTATTAATATTATTAATATTATTTTCCTTCTTTTTCTGGGGACCCTGGTTGGTCCCTAAACCCCCAGTTTGAAAACAAAGTAAAAAGGTGTTTTAGATGCTTACTATTATAAAGAACAACTAAAAGGTTAAACATAATTTCAGCAACTATTCCAGTGCATATAAACATTCAAATCCATGCTAAATAAAAATGTCCTCATGAATATTAAATATACAAATCCATTGGAGTGAAGATAACTGGACTAAGACTGAACTACATATCTAAATGGTTTTCCCAAACACACAGACAGACACATCCCGTGGCTCTTTTGATGATTTTTAATAAACATTTTTACAAACCTGAGATGGTAGTAAAAACAATTACAGCAAGACCATAGTCAAATGTACTTCCATAAACTTAAAACCACAAATATTGAACATGATTTTATTCAGTTTGTATTGCTTCACACTACTATATTATAATAATTAAATAAGGAAAGCTGATTTCTTTAACAAATCTCTTCCCTTCGTGTAAGCGTGATAAATAAATTAAAACATTGACACAGTTTCCGGTCCTGATTGTTCTTTAGTACCTGAATTCCCTGTGTACAGCTAGCTTTGTTTAGACTTACTTTAATATGGCTCATTCTGCTGGTTCCCAGGATCCTAACAGCTTATTCATTATTCGAAGACCCAGCAGAAACAATCCTGTAATCTATTTTAGACTGCAACTTAACAAACCCAAGAAACATAGTAAAATAAAATCATGACAACTGACAAAAAAACAAACAAATCCTGATCCAAATTTAACTCTCAGTCAACTTGTTTCAGTGGTCTGAGTCTTCCTTTAGAGTTAAACGGTCTGTGTGTGTGTGTAGGTACGGTGTGCGATTCTTGACACGGAAAGTCCTGAGATATCTGATGCTACAGAGCTGCACTTTGATATTTCCCTTTAAAAAATGCCCTTTATGAAGCTAACATTACAAACTAGCTGATTAGAATCAACACACAATCACAGAATTTGTACTGTACATAGCTTAGGCAAAACTACTTCATCAATAGACACATTTATTTTAAGAATAAAATCTTCTGTGGGCCCTCTGAGGTTGTGTATTCTGTGCCACAGATCCTAAAGGTCATTGATTTTGTTCAAAATGCTCTGAATCAAGCTCCATTAAAAGCTGCGTCACCTCCTGCTCCTGTTGTTTCTAGTGTTACTGTTCATGAGGACAAGACAGGTCGATGAAGCCTTTGGTCCGAGAGGGCCTCTTCATTTGCTTTGTGCTTTTGTACGCCCCTCTCTGCCTCTTCCTTTTTTCTTCATCTAAAAAAAAAAACACCTTTGGTAGAGCTCTAGTGTCTGTCCTTCGGTTTTGCTCTACTCCTCTCGTTCTACATTTTGATCCCAGCGTACAGCTCGTCTATCTGGGCTCTGAAGTGTTGTCGCAGCTCGTTCCTCTTGGCCTTCAGCGTTGGAGTGAGCAGGCCGTTCTCGATTGAGAACAGCTCGGTGTGGATGGAGATGGCCTTCACCTAAAGGACGCACAAGTGTTGGCAGGTTGTGTGAGAGAGGGTGATAATGTTTCACTTCCAGGAAAACAGCAGTACAAAGTCTACAGAGCGACATAGTGGTACACAGGAAAAGGTATTTTCAAACCTGCTCAAAGGACTTGAGGCCTCCTTCCTTGCCCAGTCGTGCCATGTCCTCCAAGATGGCAGCCTTGACTTCCTGTATGCAAGGAAGAAAGGGAGGTAAGTCAGAATAATTTAACACACAGCACATGGGTTATTAAAACATTTTTAGGGGACCAGTTTGTAGGATTTAGTGGCGTTTAGCAGTGAAGTTACAGATTGCAACTAACTGAGCACAGCTCGCGTCTGTGGGCTGCGGGCTGTGAAGTGAAAAAAAAAACTTGGGAAACAACGCGAAAGGCCCTATCTAGAGTCAGTGTTTGGTTTGTCCGTTCTGGGCTACTGTAGAAAAATGCC